TCCACATACATATGAACTAAGATAAAGAGCAGTCATGTGACTTGTTTGAAATTATACAATTAAATCAATGGCTGAACTGTAAACAGAACCCAGGGTACCCAACTGCTAGTCTGCTGCTCTAACTAATGGATCATGCTCCCTGCTATGTAATAGGACTGTTTCCTTTAATTACAAATTCTTCATTCTCCACCAGATTATCAGCCAGAGGCTTTATCATTAGTTTTGCTCTTCTTGCATTCATGGCATTATTCCAAAAAATATGAGTTTTTCATGTTAAAAATATAAAGACCACTGCTTACTGTATAATACCAAATCTGAAAATTCCAACCACCCTGGCAAGAATACTTCGCCAAGCTTGCCCTGAATGGCACGTGTATAGATAGAACTTCAATTTTAACATCCATTTTGGGTTGGTCAGCGACCTGGAGAAAATCATTTAAATAAAAAATAGAATCATGGATATCAATGCACTTAAAATCTTACATTAGGGGATTCTATAGTCTCATTATATGATCTGTATGTAAAAGTCCAAAAGATAGCGGACTGTTAAAGACACATTTCGGAGAATTTGTCATGTTGGGAAGTAGGATAAGGTTAAAATCATGACATGTTCTTACGTTCTATACTGAAATCTATTTTAAAAATATAATGGAGTAAACAAAGTAGCTATCTGAAAAGAGGTGTGCAGTCACTTGTCTTTGAGAAGCACTTTGTGCTTCTTTGGCACATAGCACAGCGGCAGTGGTAAAGCAGCCTTGCCCTTGGTGCTGATTTCTTACTTCTCTAAATGTCTCCTCTGAGCCAGAATACACTGGCTGTTGCTGATCATGCTGTGAGACACCTGCACTGGCTACTAGGCTTGTCATGACGCACAAAACCCTACCATCTTCAGCTTGACATTGTGCAAGTTATAATTATTCATCCAAATGAATATGTCAGAGCAGCAGCAGCAGACCTCTCATCAGAGCAAGAGAAAAATACATCAAAACATTATCAACCCAGCAGGAAGACAGGGACCATAAGGAAAATTACCCATTTTTAATATGGATGCCACAAAGCCATGTCTATTATTTTACAAAAAGAAAGGAAAATAAAGATCTTCCAAGTTTAAAGTCCAGAAACACTAAATCCAACAGGAAAAAAATGTACAAAAGCAGAAAAGGAATGTTTGTTTGTTTTTTTAAATCAATTATCTGGAGCCTACTAACAGTCTCTTAAATGTTTGTTATTAGACTACAATAGTAGCATTTATTTTGGTTGAGAACCACAACTGTTTAAAACTTGTTTTTTTTTTAAATAATTCTCACAAGCAGAATTATTTCCAACAAGTCAATGAAAAAAAGTCAAAAACAGCAAACAAGTCTAATATTGCTTCTTACTTTCAAAACATATCACCAACACTCTTCTCATACCTAAAAGACTCAAGAGTTCATACCCATGGTGACATCACCAAAATACTTACGATGTACAACTAGATTTTCAAAGAATAGATAAATATATTTTGAAAATGTTCTAAAGTCTAATGGCATGCATAAATGAAAAATTGAAATCACTTCCCGATCTCCACAAATGAAGACGCCACATCCAAATGAGCATATATAGAATAGGCAAGTGTAAATAGATTCCTACCTCAGACTTAAACAGTAGATAAATATGAAAAATACTTAACTAAATATGAAAAATGTATAACTTTTAGAACAATCTATAGAATATATTTTCAGAACAAGACATGCAAGATTTTTCAATTCAAGACCAAAAAAATACAAATCACAAGGAAGAAATTGTTAAACTTCAGATTGAAAAACATATAATAAACAAAGTTAAAAGACATGCTTCAGGGAGAAGATACTAAAATTTCAAAATAATCAACAAGAATCAGTATCCAAAATATATAAGGAATGCTTATAATAAAAAAAAAATTAAATAGACTCAGGTTATAAAAACGGTAATAGTGATTTATCATTCCTAATAAGAATTAAGGTCAGAAGAAAATCAGACTAAGATTTAGAAGGTCTTTGAAAATGTAGGAATTATTATGCATTACTGGGCAGGAGTATAAACTTATATAACTAATTTGGGTAGGCAATTGGCAGCACGTAGTAATCCCGGAGAGGCACAGTTCCCTACAACCCTGCATTTTCACTACTAGGTATAAGCAGCACTAAAAGTCTCACATGTGTGCAAAGAAATATGTTAGGATGTCACTGTAGCAAAAAATTTAGTGAGAAATTGCAAACAACCTTATCAACTGGGCAACAGATAAATTAACTGGTAGATTCATATAATGGAATGATATAAAGCATTTAAAATAAATGTGCCACACATGCATGGGTCATTGGTAAACCATTGTAAAAACCATTGTAAAAAATCAGACTGCAAATGTGATAGAAAATGGCATAAACAAATGTAGCAGAAATATGCATGGACAGCATTCACATCATTTCAAGGAAGTGGTGACCCCTCAAAAGGAAGAGAGGAAAAGGAAGAGGAAAGGAGAAAGGAAAAGGAGGGGTAAATCTTAGTTGTTCCAAAAACATTTTATTCCTGAGAGGACAGAAATAGGGAGAGATATATCTGTAGTGAATGTGACAAAATATTAACACCTGTCAAAATTGAGTTGTGGATAATAAGATATCCGAATTTCTTTCTGTACTTTGCTACGGATTTTAGTATATTCTGTAACTTAAAAATTAATTTGTGACATCCCGATTACTACTAATTAATTCTATTTTCTTGGAGCTAATACAAAACGGAACATTTGTATGACCCAGTTAAATCTAAAATTTGAATTTAAATTAGTATTATAAACACTTCATACTTAATATCTAAGGCACTTGAACTAATGTTAAGATACAAAATTTTAAAAACATTTTCTTCAAGGATTTTTTAGTCTAGTCTAGTCACACGTTAATGTTGCTAAAAAGCAAAACAAGGTAAGTGCATTTTTCTGTGGAGATGCAAACATTTTTCACAGAATAAAATCTGCGGAAAACCTGTATACCGTAGTTATCTACATTTAAAAAAAAATGAAGAAACATCAAAAACATATTCTTCAAACTTGGGTTTTGATAAATACTGAAGTAAAATTTACAGATAGCATATCTGGAAAGAGTAATGCAATCTGGGTATAATGTAATTGCACTGTCTCATATTAAAAAAAGATAAAGCCTGGCTGGTTTTGCTCAGTGGTTAAATATCAACCCATGAACCAAGAGGCCATGTTTGGATTCCTGGTCAAGAGATATGCCCAGGTAACAAGCTTGATCCCTAGTAGAGAGCATGCAGGAGGCAGCCAATAGATGAATCTTTCTAATCACTGATGTTTCTATCTCTCTTTTCCTCTCCCTTCCTCTCTGAAATGAATAAAAACATATTTTTAAAAATTAACAAAGATAAAGCTAACAGAGCCAATTAAACAATGTATATTTAAAAAAGCAAAGCTATACAATTCATAACTTTTTTTTTAAGTCAACACACTATTTTCTATCCTATATAATAAAAGCCTAATATGCTAATGATATGCTAAGGATGCGCACTGACCATTAGAGGTCAGTTAACCAGTCAACTAGTTTCTATGATGTGCACTGACCACCAGGAGGCAGACCCTCCGTCCCATAGGTTAGCTTATTGCTGGGGTCTGGTTGATCGATAGGGACTAAGGGAGGCGGGCCAGATATACCCTGGAGACCTCCTGTGATCCCTCCCTGGCTGGCCAACCTCCTGCATCCCTCCCCAACCCCAATCATGCACCATGGGGTCCCTTGGCCTGGCCTGTGCACTCTTGCAATCCAGGACCTCTTGGGGAATATCAGAGAGCCAGTTTTGGCTCAACAGGGACCCCACTGTTGCATGAATTCCTGCACTGGGCCTCTACTATAATTATGATACATAACAGAACACCAAAAGCAAATCACATGGATTTTCCTCTCTTTATTTTACTTTTATCTCTATTCCCATTGAAAGGAGAAAGCCTTTTTATGTTTCTAGAGGGGAAAAAAATAAGAAAAATAATTTTGAATATATTTTTGCAAATGTAAAACCTTCATAAAACTATTTAAATGCTGTTAGGCATATTTTCAAAAAAACACTGCATATACAGGATAATTGCTTTATATATTTCTAGCATAAATTTTCACTTGAATGTAACAAAATTTCCTAACAAAAAATATTTGTAAAATGTCACTAGGAATTTTGTTTTCTTTGCATAAGAACAGAAATGTGTGACACAATTTACTAATGAAAGAAGGACCATGCCCATCATCATTAGGTTGTTCTTTGAACTTAACTGCTACTATTCTGCCAGGTCTTCAGAAACCACACATATAATGTTGATGATGATACTACTGAGAATCATACCTTATAACTATATAATGTTACAGTTTACAATACACTTTTAAACACATTATCTTATTAGATATCATCAATGTATTGAGAAATTCAATTGATAGGAGCAGGAGAAAGAATCTCCAATATTCTTCACTCAAAGTATGAATGTTTGGAAACACATACAAAAATAAAATTGTCTAGGTCCAAGGATGAATGCAGGAAAAACACTTAAAAACAATAATAATAAAAAAAAGAGTTAAAAGGGAAAGGCTTATATTTTTAATCATAACTCATTCTCTTTTGAAGATTCTCTGATATTCTGTCAACAATGTTAAAAGATTTAACAGTCTGAAAAAGTCACCCAATTTTCTACTTACTGCTCACTGTTTTATAAACAGTGCTTTAGAATTTAAATTTAAAGCAAAATTTCTGTCAACAGAGCTTCTTCATGTTTGTCTAAACTGAAGCATAAGGATCTAAAGGCTGAATGGTGTATTTACGTGTGTGAGTGTATGTGTGTGCAGACAGAGAGAAAATGAATATTAACTACTAGGAAATATAAAAGATATACCTTAGAAGACCTATTTATAAACAAATGCTTATAGAAAACTAAAAGAAAATAACCTATAATGGCCACATGTAAATAAACAGAATATGCTTTTTTAAGAATATACCTGTGTAGTCCAGGAAACAGAAAATGGAATAGGAAAATCCACAAAACAATCTGGTGATTCCACAGGGTACTATGAAAAAGCAAAAATATAGGTTAATTTTACTTCTGTGTGACAATTTCACATGAGGTGTTTTAGAAAAATTGATTAGGAATAGTATTATTAATGCAAATGTATTATATATAAATATTTTGCTCTTACTGTTACAGGTGTCAAGAACTGATTATAGCAGTTAAAATTATGTTCAAGGGATATAAAGTTTGATGATTTGGGGGGGAAAACACAATCAATTTTGATCAAGGAAGAATGAATGAAGTCAGTGTTGGGTGAGCTGCTAATGTGATTGCAGGGGAAATCACACTGTGCCTCTTATTTTAAAGTTTCTTATCTTTAAAATAAGAGGTCAAACTTATTGATATTAGTTTCCTTTCGGTGTAAAATTTAATCTTAAATAGCCTGCTACTATTTGAAGAGGCAGAATCAAGAAATGCATAAAAATACAACACTTCTTAATTATAAAATAAATGTATTTTCCACAATTAAACAATTACTTTTAGTAAGAAGATTTTTAAAAAGAATAAAATGCCTTCTTTATTAAGGAAAAACAAAAGTACTCGTTTTAAGCCAAAAAAAAAAAAATTCATGGTTGATAAACAGAAAATCAATTCTTCAACAGTATTCTACAAAAAGTGAAAGTCATTATGACAAATGGGTTTCTAAGTTAAAGACAAAATGTAGTTATTATTAAAATCAATTTTGTTATTAGAGAATTGTACTACATGATTTCTCTAAAATGCAATTCTGGATTTTTCAAAGTCACATGTAATTTTAAAAATACTCATTTCTTTCCATTAAAAAGATAAATTTACTAAAATAAAATTAGTTTTAAGAAAACTTTCATTTGACAGACTTTAAAAAAAGTTTTAGATTCACTTTTTGCAATTTATTTTTCACTACTTTGCTGAATAAAACAAAAAGGGACAAAATTTTCACTATTGTATTTACAAAATGCCATTGAAATCAATGCTCTGAAATGAATTAACATTTAGTTATAATGATCTGTTGACCGGAAAGAAAACTTACTGTAAACTCTGACTAATGATATCTGGATATGCAGAACCAATAACATGAAGACAAAAATACAGGAAACCATATAAAAATATAACTATGCTCTAATTTGGGAGGAAATTTAAGAAAGGTCAGGCTGAAATTAAAGAGGGAGCTCTATTTCAGACAATTAAGTATCAGGTGATGTATTTAACAGTATAATTGCTGTAATCACTGGAAAACCATTTGTATGCCATTTTTATTAGGCATGTGATTATATCAAAGTAAATAGGCAAACTTTAGTTTTCATTAGTTCTGCCAATTAATTTGCGTGATGTTGGACAAGTCAGTAAACTTCTGTTTTTAAGTAAAAATAATGCAAGTCACCTAAAAGGGTTATAAAATTTATTTTTCCTCCAAAATGTTAACAATCTGTAAAACTAATAATGCACATTTGAAACCTCCATGGGTCAAAAATGGAATATTTAGTTTGCTTTGGCATACTGTTATCTCCCACTGATGCTGACAATGACCAATACCAACTCTCTAACTTAAATCATCAATCTGAGTAAGAGTATGAAGTTAATGAAATATTTATTGTATTTAGAATAGATAAACCAAGTAAAGTACCTATGACTTTGGAAGTAATTAAATACTTATAACTCATTATGCTAAAAGAGAATATGATCTTTTTTTTAAGTAGGACTTAGTAGAATAAATGCTATGTATGTACACTGACATAGAGATCTAGCAAGTGAACAAAAAGCAGGCTATGCTAAATATAACATAATCTCACATACATAAATGTGGGATAGTTTCTGAGATAATATCTTTAAAATACATTTTATGTATAATTATTCAAACATCTAAACATAAATTAGACTGATCTATTTGCTTTCTAAACATCTATTATAAATTAAATGCATATGTCATGCGTGTTAATTATATTCCCATTTAAGATCAACTTTATTTACATAATAAATTTTATAAAACTGCACAGAACCTAAAAAGCACAAATTTATATACTTGTGGGTAATTTAACATGAATTATGAAGTAGTGTCCTAGATATTCAGAATTATTTGTATTATAGTACTAACTACAACATAGATAACTAAAAATATTATAAAATAACTATTAAAATTCAGAGTTTTCAGTAAGTAGTATAGGTCTATATAAAATCACCAAGACTACCAAAAGTTTCATTTTAGAAGTATAATTGACAAAAAAAAACTCCACATAAAGGAATATTAATTGAAAAATAAGTATGGCAATTGTTTTAAATTAAAATATAGTATAAAATCTCAATTCAAATGATTCAGTCAAATCAATAAATATAAAATAATTCTAAAATTATAAAAGTGCATAGTTTTGTCACATCCAATATATTTAAATTCTAATATAGTTCTAAGAAAAAATTTAACCCAAACTGTTCTGTCATTGGACCATCTAAGTGGCTTCCCAAGTAAATACATACAAATTGCAGATTTATAAAAATGGCCATCAGAGAGAGAATATCCAGCCTCTGATATACACCTGTGATTTGTTTTTTCAAATAGTTCTGATCTAGGCCAAAGGTGAAGAAGCACTAGGCTACTTATTTTCCTCAAGGAAAGAAAGTAATTACATCCTTCAGTTCAGGATATTCTATAAGTATTATGTAATGCCTAAAAATCACTTATAAAAACAAAAAAATTTAACTATTTCCCTTACCATAGTTCTTTTTTTATATATATTTATTTTTAATAGGAAGCATTTAGTACTATTTTTTTGTGTGTGTGGGTTTCTGGTACTATTTTCTTTATGGGTTTTTGCAGATAGTAAGGGAAGGAGCAAAACTGGAAGTATGTATACCCAGAATAAAATGAATTTCTTTACTATATACATAAAAAAAAGTTTTGTATATTTACAAAACAAGCCTCTTATTAAGGTGTTGTTTTTTGTGTTTTGTTTTGTTTTTAAATCAACTTGATCCTTTAAAATTTAGTCTGGATTAAGATTTTGCATTATGTACTTTTTAAACACATAAATGTACCATTTTATTTATTTATTTTTATTAATTAAGGTATTACAAATGTGTCTTTGTACTTTAATACAGTTTCAGCTAATCGCTATTTTTAACTGACAATCCCAGATCCAAATATTCCTAGAAAAAAATGATCATATCTAAAAAAGAACTTAGGTCTATCTCTATGAAAATGGAACTAAATGGACAATTAAAGACTCTAGTAAATCATACCAACATAAGATTCATTCAGTTCCACTGTCTTTTCAAAAACAAGAAAGCAAACAAAACAAACAAACAAACAAACAAAAAAAACACACACATTTGATTTTCTTCCTAATTCTTTCCCAACTCCAGTAAAGCTTTCTCTTCTCTCTTGCCAGGGCATCTATGATAGTGTTTCACAGCTATTGATACTGCAAAAATTGACAGTTGAAAAGATTCTCCAGAGAAATATTAAAAGTGTCACCTTATCTACCTTGTGGAGACATAAGAAAAAGGGAAAAGACTAATAGCTACACACTCGCTCTCAATACTACCATTAACATCATTAACTAGAATTAATAACATCTTTGTAGGTATAGGTACAGGTGCAGACTTGAAGCATTATCCCTTCAGTAAGTAGAAATGCTTGCAAAAAGTAGGCTCTTATAACAAACAAGCAAAAGAAACAAATAAAGCTTTAAGGGAAATGACAGAGCCCTTGCCACTGGCAGTATGTGTGACCTTTGGAAGAATAAGGACAGTTTTCTCCTTGGTTTTAGAAAAAGCACAGCTTTAAAAATTAAAAGGGAAAATAATTTATTTTTATTTTAACTAAAATATCCATGTAACTTATTTTACAAATGAGATTTCTAGCCCACTCATATTTTTTAGGACTTATCACACGAGTCTTAAAATTATATATGCCTAAACATTCTGTATGTGAGAAAAGAGAGGGAATGAGTAATTTCTCAATTTGTCTGATATAGAGGCACTATAAGATATCAACTTTTCTGTGTCACCCAGTACAGCTTTATATATTAATTCTCTCTCATGGAAAGCTTAAATGTCAGGCACATTTTTAAAAAGGACAAACACAATTGATCTTTTCATCACTGCAATCTTCTGAAATAGAGTTGATTGATGACTCCTGGGAACAATAAAAAAAAAGGTGTCCTGGTTTTCTGAAATTCTTATGTTTCCCTAGTGATTACTAAATAAATGATTAATATGCTGAACTTGCTTATTCTACTTATTTCTCAAAATTCACAATCTAGAACTAAAAAATAAAGATGAAACAGCTATATTTTGTGCCAATAAATTAATGAATAGTTATAGATCACAAGCCTATAAAGGCCCTGTAAAGAGAGACATAACCTTGGCAAATTCTTAAAATAACAGAGTAAAAAAAAAAAAATCAGCCAAAACAAACAAACTAACAATAAAAAATACACTTATGTGTATGTCTGTGTATGGTGGTTGGGAGTGGGTCAGAAATAAGAACTACAAAGGTAATTCATAGTCAAGTTGAAGACAAAAGACCTTTAGTAGAACTTTACTTGGGATAATGGAAACTTCCAACTCTTTTCTATATTGGATGTTACAAAAATAACATTTTGATACTTTAAAGCTGCTGAATCTTATTGCAATATTTCTTTTTTATGAAGTCTATATTTTGATCACATTTGAACTACAATAGTGTCATGAAAGTATATCTAGGCTTTTAGAAACCTGCTGAATTTTCTTTGAGGTTTTCCAAAATAATTTTTTAAAGTACCATAGGTACATATTTTGGAAGCAGCTGGCACTTCATTAGATTGAAAACATTAATAGAGGTCATTTCACGAAGCATTTCCTGACCACAATAACAGTTTAATAAAGCACATACCTTTGCTTTCAACTTGAGAGTGATTAGATGCTCTCTACCAGAAGCATCTTCAGCTTTTAACTTGATGGTACTGAAGGAAGAATCCACATATACAAGTCTGGTGAGAAGAAGAGAATAAAAAGTGATCACACTGGGGAGGACAGGACTGGGGGGAGGAGTGGAGAATGGCAGAATTGGAAATGAAAATATTTGCTATATTTCTATTAATCCATTGCAAAATTAATCAGAGGGATTTCTGCATGCCAGACCTTTATGCTGCTATATAGATTTACTGCCATTAATACACCAGCCTAGTGCTTAATGTAGTCATAGATCTCTGGATTATTTACAATGTGTGTCAAGGCTCATGCTGTGGTCAGTGAGCACTATGTTTCGGTTTTCCATCACTGGAACCTCTGGCACACACAGCATGTTCCTGTCAGCTTCTACTTATGTACACATTAAACTTCCTGTCAAAGTCTTTGATCCATTTCTGTAGTTTTATACGGTATGAGACTCTTATGCTTCCTTTATTTGTTTTCTCCATGATGAACTTTTCCTTTATCATCAATAATGCTACTATACAAAAATCTGGCCGATATTAGTTCATACTTAAATTGATCCTCTAAGGAAAATGCTGCGTGAGCACAGGTATAGCCTGATCTAACAATAAATTTTCTTTTTCTGCGACATATAGCTTCTGACACTTAACCTGGCCGTGCATTCAAGATGACGAATATTTTAAACATATAACACAAGCGTAGTTGTTTTGGCTTTAAGTTGCTCTAAATGTATAAATTTTCTGCAACGGAAACCAATACCCTTTGAAATATATCATTCTGTAAAACTACGGTCCCTTGAGTAGCATAAGCTACTGCCAAAAATGTTCACATTTAGTAGTATATTTACTAGTGAACCGGGCATGTGGATATTTTTTGACATTTTTACAATACTATTCTCTTGTGAAGATAAAAAGTAGCCTAAGAGCATTGCACAACTTATCACCCAGGCTGATGGAAAGACCCATTAGAGGTCAGCACTACATTAGCCTTCTAACCCAGGAAACATTTTTTTAACGTCACTGTGTGCTGCTTCGTCACTGGCCTGGTGTAAGAGTGAAAGTGGGTCAATTTCAAAAATAATGGGCAATAAAGTTGTGGAACACTATTTGTAATAAAAAATAGATTTAAATCTAAAAAAGGTGCATATCTTCAACAACAAACTAAAAGATAAGATAGTCTTTATCAGCAGAAGAATGTTTATCATAATCTATAAAAAGTCTAGGGTCTTAGAAAAAAAAAAAAAAAAACGATTCCAGAAAAAATGTTTCCTTACACAAAAATATCAATGATATACATAAATGTTTAATCACTAATTTCTTTCAGCTATATCTATAAGTATCTCAAATTCCCCTACCCCCAAAAATATAGAATATGAGACTTTATCACACGTTTTATCAATATAACTCTAAGTTCAGATATATGGGCACATAACTTTGAAAGCATCAACACTTCAGATTCAAGATGCTGATATAGCACATAATTTATTTATATCCTCTCTTTATTCACTAAAAAATAATTTTTAAGATGTAGATAAATCCATAGTTACAAAAAGAATAAGAAGGAAATAGCATCAACTAAAGCAAATTTTATAAAAATAAGAAGTGGTTTGAAGAACACTGGGTGACAAACACATTAAAACAAACAAACAAACAAAAAACAACAACAAAAAACAGAAAAAGAAGATCCAGGGAGCAAGATAGCTGGCAAAGGAAGGAAAGGAAGAAAGTCTATAGAATAGAGAGAATAGAGGGTATGATATATATGAGGAGAAATTAAGGGAATGTTTAATAATAAAATAAAAGGAAATCAAAAAGAAAAAGGAAAATTTTAATCTAAATTATAAACAATGAAGCTATGTTAAAATTGTAATTGTTCTACCATTAACTTTTTAATGAAAAATATTTACAGTCATAAAAAAAACCAAACTGCTTACTAATTACAATTTTGAAAATCCAAGAATAAACAAAGCTAAAAGAATTGTAGCTACAGAAATGAATGTAAACATATTTAACCACTACAAGAGGTGACAAAAATTGACAAGTAGAATGGGGAAAGAAATGAGGGAGAAGATTCAGACCACTAAAACTTATAACTGCTAATTTGAGAGTAAAAAATACATATCATTAATTAAATGGACATGAAAGAAGTTTAAGGAATATTAAATCTAATTGAAAAATAAAAGAATAGTAAAGAAAGGAGGGAGATGGTGGTATAGGAACTAAACCCTCTTTAATTATAGTTATCACTATGTAATTCCTAAAATTAATAATCAAGCAATTTTGAATGTAGGCATATCATTGAAAAATATGGAAGTTGTAAGCATAAATATTTCAGAGTATTTGCCTCAGAGAATAAGACTGGAGTTTAAAAAAATGGTGTGGGAAAAGGCTGCTACTTCTCTTTATGAGCCTTAAATCATGTATAACCATGATGAATATATCCCTATAGAGAATAAGAAGGGTGGGGAGAGAAAAGAAACAACTATATCACCAACTAGTCCTTTTTGTGTTTCACATTGCTGCTCCTCATCCAGATGTTCTTAGGCAGAAATAAAAGTTCTAGTCTTTTGTTTCCAGTCATACAAACAAAAGATTATCATCTTTCCATAAAGTTAAAGACATGGAGATAAAACATTAGATAAAAATGTCATGCTCAAAATATGGTTGTGCAGTTAAAATGGTAAGATTAATTTTGTTAAACTTTAAGAAGTCAAGTAAAACGGTAAAAACATTTATAACTTTAGGTTACTCTCAGCCTAGGCGTTTGAAATTATACATTTTACCCATGTCGATTTCTTTCTACTTTGTTTCAGGAACAGGGAGAAATCTCATCATTATTAACACCTTGAGTAGATGTGACCTACACTGCTACATGACCTCCATTATTTCTTTTAATTTTCTCCTTTTGATAATAGAATCTCTGCCTCTATAGCACCCCTAACTACACCAAGATTTAGCAGGGCACACTCCATTCAGCTAGCAATCCTTCCCAGCTGCCCTTGGGTATCAGCCTATCACTAAATTTTAGACTGATAATAAAAGTGATTAATATGTGCACCTTTTGAATTATTTTTATTGACAAAATATTGCCTTACCCTCTCCAGTGCCCCTCTCACTCTCCCTTCCTTTAGACTAGATCTGAGCAATAGAAGCCAGCAAAGACCATGCAGACAAGAACAACTCTCTTATTGCCACTCTGACCACTGAAACAATCAGCAACAATGGAGGTATTCCACATCTGCACTGTCCAAAACAACAGATCCTCGTGACATGTGGCTACGAAAAATTTAAAATATAGTTGTTATAGACACTGAAATTTTAATGTAGTTTAAATATAAATGCCAATAGCCACAGTGGATAGTAGCTACTACACTGAACAATTAAGCAACAGTAGATAGTTGAAAAACAAATGAAAGAAACCTGGGTTCTTGGATGACCTTGTAGGACAGCGCCACCTGTATTCACTGTTGACCATCTGCCTACCTCTGAGCTGTTAATGAGATCACTAAAATTCTATTTTGTTTGAAATATTGAGGATTTGGGGGTTCTCTTTGTTAATATCAGTTTAACTTGTACCCTAACTAAAAGAACATATTTCTATCCATTCACAATAGGAAAGAATATCTTAGTGTTTGGTCTATAAAAAAAGATATTATAGAGGGGAGAACAGTGATAAGCTCTTAGAAATAATTTTTAAAAATCATTCTTTAAAAAGTCTATTTTAAACGATCTACTTTATTGTTATGGTGAGTATCTTGATTTAAACAACATGAAATAATTTTTACTCATTTAAATAAGGTACATAATTCACTTTAATAATAAATTTTAAAAACTTTCATCATTGGAATGCTCAATATTTTTTAAAGTTGTGAAATCACATTTAAGATAAGGAGTTTGGGTATTATTACTTAGCTAGGCACATTCAAAATTGACTAAAAATATAAAACATATATAAAATCTAAAGAAATAAAATATACCTTTGGCACTTTACTTTGTATTTATCACTTGCTGCATTTCTTTGTAAACATGCTTGCAATAAGTAAAATGGTACTAAACTTGGCAGTTAAGTTTTATAACACTTAAAAAGGATACTTCAGCTCAGGGAGATTTTTGTTGTTCTTGTTAGTAGCTGAATGTTATCAGTAGAGCAGCAGAAGGAATGTGCTTGAAATAGTGTACCTATTTTGACCAACAGCCTAAGTTACATAGTTTTTCTTTTATTTAAATATCTAGGTATATTTACATAGCAATAACATCAAAAGGTAGACTGAAGACCTTCATGGTTTAATAAAGCATCAAAGTTTCTATTTTTACCACTACCCTCAAGTTTAAGCATTAACACTTCAAACCTACATTTCAAAAAGCAACCTCCTGAATTGGTGTCTTTACTTCCTGTCTTTTCTGTACATCAATCTATCCTGCCTTCCATGACTACATTAATCTACCTAAGTAACTCCTTGCTCAAAAATACTCAATGAGCCTTGATCAACTACATAGAAAGAATCCTTAGTCTAGCATTAAGACCTGTCAGTCTCGCCCTCATATTAATTCTCTTATGTGAGTGAATGATTTATTCAAAAGTTCAAAAATTGTACATTTCCATCATTACAGCCTTGCCTCCACCAATCCCTCCCTTTTAAGTCTTTCTACATTCCTTCCATTCTTATCCCAAAACCCACCTTCTCTACAAACCTTTTTAAACGATTTGTAACTCAAAAGGACCTCACCTTTCTTAAAACTCTCACATTGCTGCTTTTCATGTAAGTTTATTGCTTTTTTTTATAAAGAATATAAAAGTTTTACCCTTCTGTATATGTGCCAGTGCTCTATGTATTAAATGAACATGGAAAAGCTATTCAGACCGGTTCATGTTTATGCTTCACATGTGTGTAGTAAACAACTGAATGCACATTCTGTTTACATTAGATACTATCAACACAACCAATTTAGAAAAACAAAATTTTTCACTACTAGATAATTTGTAGTTATTCAATGATTTGGATATGAATGAGGAAAAACATTCTTATAAAGGTAATTTGTTAACATTTATATTCTTTTGCATTTTATAACAAAAGTTATTACTGGTTATAATTAAATTGTAACACTAATTAAATCTCTGTAAAACTCATATACAGTCTGACATTTTTGAGTGATCTAGTGTCTCAACAACTTTATAGAAACTTTAGTCAGGGATTAATTGAGTCACATAACATGTTTCTTTTCAACACTCATTATTAGTTTCAAACTAAAAATAAAGAAAATGTGGCTCTTAGGGAGGTTATGTTACATGACCGAGGTCACACAGCTGATAAGTCAGAATTAAAGTCCTTATCCAGTTATTGAAATTAATTTAGTATAAACAAGTATTCCATTTACTCCAATATCTTATGTAGTTCTTTGAAATTCATTGAGAATTATAGAACATAATTCCACTGGATAAATTTACTGGATCAAATCCATTACTAAAATAATAGGCTTAATTAAAAATCTAACTTAATATATGTTGAGATATGTGAACAATCCTTCAGTGGTACAACAAATTAGATAAAATTCAGCTCTTTCCCAAGACAAATCTGAAAGGCCAAATACCTGAATTCTACTCACTCTGATAAGTAATATGCTATAAAAATGATAAAACCATCATATCACTTCCCCATTTAATCTCTGAATTATCTGGGGTTGTGTGACTTATAACAACCATAAGATTTGCTATAAATAGGTGACTATGAATTTCTTCCAAACTGGGACACTTCTGAGACTGACAGGGGTCAGGATAAAAGGCATTCATTAATAGAACTATCCTAGGTAAAGTGAGATGTAGATCAGCCCACCTGTAACTTCGAGACATTCATAGTACCAAACAGACAATCCTGCTAAACACCAAGGACTCTGTTTAATTCCCATTGTTTTATATGAGCTAGTCTACAAAACAACACAAGCAGAAGTTAACAGAAGCCAATCAAGACATCTTTTTGCATCCCTCCCCCTTGTGAATCAGCATAACACCCAACTGTCATATCATTTTCATCTTTATCCTCTGAACAACTTGCTGTTTTTAGTGTGCTTTTTAAGAAGTTTAAACATGTATAGAAATTATAACAACAGCAATCAAACTTAAGACGGCTACTAATTCTATATAATTTCTAACTTAATTTTTTATAATGCCTGGTTCTATATAGTTAATTAGAAATGTCAAGTATGTAATTTAAAAACACAGCAAGGTCTTCATTAAGATGTTTCTTTTATTATCAGATTTTGTTATTATACTAACAAATCTATAAGATTATTGCTAAGAATGCAAAGGAAATATGGATATATTGACATGGTCTAGCAATCATTGAGATTCTTATTGTCCACTTAAACTAGATTGTCATACAAATCATTATGCGTATCATTTAAAAAAGATCTATATACAGTATATAAAAGCCTAAGTGACCGTCAGACCATTTGACTGGTAGCTATGATGTGCAATGACCACCAGGGGGGCAGACACTCCAACCAATAGCTATGACACACACTACCAAGAGGCAGTCACTCAACACTCAACATAGGAGCGGCCTAGCTGTGGTGATTTAGCAGCTGCGGTTCTCAGGCGACATACCTGGAATCAGAGAGGAGGGAGCCCAATTCCGGGGTACATCACCCGAGAACCTCTCTCTAGCAATCCAGGACCCCTCAGGGGATGTCAGAGAGCCGGTTTCAGCCTGATCCCCAAAGGCTAAGCAGAGGGACCCCATTGGTGCATGAATCCATACACCAGGCTTCTAGTATTTTAATTTTTGCCATTTATACCACTGCTTTTAATTATTAATTTTATTATTTAAAGTATTACATGTAGTAGTACATATATCTCCTTTTTTTCCCCTATAGACCTTCCCCCATCCTCCCTTACCCCCTGTCACATGACCTCATAGGCTTCTAGTATTTTATTTTATTTATTCTTTTTTTTTTTTACTTTTTTATTTTATTAATTTTTTACAGAGAGGAAGAGAGAGGGATAGAGAGCTAGAAACACTGATGAGAGAGAATCATCAATCAGCTGCCTCCTGCACATCCCCCACTGAGGACGTGCCCTTGACCAGAATCAAACCCGGGACCGCTCTATCCACTGAGCCAAACCAGTTTTGGCAGGCTTCTAGTATTTTAAATGAAAAAACTAGCTAACTGCTGAGGCAGGGCCTCAAAATGTAGCAATACCAGTTTTGGGACAGTACAATTCAGGTCTCAGTTTTAGCTCTGAGTGTCCTGAAACCCAGTATTGTCAGTGTGCCAAGTATACCTGATTTTTGAATTAAGACACAAAAATAAAACTGATGGGAGATTTTACTTTACCGATGTTGGATAAATATTGACAATCTTATTCTTTGGCCTCTCACAATCCAGGCAGAAATATTCTCTTCTACTAACAGTCCTTATTTGTAAAGCTATGAAACAAATGATTAGGTAACAGCTATATACCTAATTCAATCATGCATCCTAGTCACCATAATTAAACTATCACCTTTCTCAAATCTAAGCCAAGAAACTGTCTCTCAGGATGCATTAATTTTGCATATGGCCAATTTTTTCCTTAGTCACACACTGAAGGTACTTGAGGGAACTTTATTGAAGGCTGTATATCAGAGCTGACCCACAGCACAACTCCAGGGAGCATGATTCATGTACACGAAGTCTGAGCACTGACATGCAACCAGCCTTGTCCGTATACACTCAATTTATATATACACAAAGTTGGGAATATAAATATATATCTTGAAACTTATGCTGAGAATTAAATAAGAATTATATAAAGTGGCTAGCACAGTCAGTGGCACAGAACAGCAACTTCATAAATGAAAGTTCCTGTGTGCAATGACCTTAGTCTAAGGTGCTGACCAACATTTATATTGTGATGAAGGTTGTGGTAGAGGCATTTGTAGCCTTATTTATTTATTTTTTTTAAATATATTTTATTGGTTTTTTACAGAGAGGAAGGGAGAGAGATAAGAGCTAGAAACATCGATGAGAGAGAAACATCGACCAGCTGCCTCTTGCACACCCCCTACCGGGGATGTGCCCGCAACCAATGTACATGCCCTTGACCGGAATCGAACCTGGGACCTTTCAGTCCACAGACCGATGCTTGTAGCCTTATTTTTGCCTTTCACCTATTATCTAGGTTAGAGATCTATCCCCTTTTCTGTCACATCACAATAGGTATAAAACAAAGCAATAGTCAATACTTTCCTTTCATCTCTAAAACCATATATTCCATAAAGGACTTTATAAACTTGCACTACTTCTCTTTATAACTTTGATACGAATGGCTCTCAAGAAATCCTATAATTGCATTTATAGTTCTTATCAGTTGGAATTAAGTACTATGGTGATTATCTACTTAAATTCTGACTCTTCTACTATATGTAAATTCTATGAACAATCTTAAATCTTGCCTATGTATTCTCACTGCCCTCAATTATAAGCATTCACAAATAACAGTTAATTGGAAAGAAATTATTCAAAAATTTTATATTTAAATTATCAGCACTTCAATGACTTTTTACTGGAGTTCTCTGAAATATGTCACATTCACATAGAAAACTGTTTCAAATTCAATTTATCAATTTAACACAAAACTAGAACCATTATCACTTCCCTTGATGCTCCCTTCATACATCCTTAACTATTTTAAAAATGAAGGTCTTAATATTAAGCACCTGAAAATAAGTCAAAATAATTTTTCTCTATTCTGTCACCTTATATCCAAAAAATGGCAGAGTCCATGTCATCAGTGCCTTGAGACACACCTTTATAACCTCAGCAGAATTGTTATTAGTGCATCTTAATTCATTTCTTGTCTTCTCTTGTCTTCTTCCTTCCATTGGTATGCTATATCCTATATAATAAAAGGCTAATAAGCAATCCTCCTATATAATAAAAGGCCAATATGCAAATCGACCAAATGGCAGAACAACCAGTTGCTATGACACACACTGACCACCAGGGGGCAGGCACTCAATGCAGGAGCTGCCCCGATGATCAGTGCGCTTCTACAGGGGAAGCACCGCTCAGCCACAAGTCAGACTCAGGGCTGGGGAGCACAGCAGCAGCAGTGTCTAAGGATGTACGACTGCCAGCACTCACACATCCCCCGAGGGTTCCCAGACTGCGAGAGGGCACAGGCCGGGCTGAGACACCCCCACCCCAAATGTATGAATTTCGTGCACTGGGCCTCTAGTTTTATTATCAAGGTATAAAATAGATTGCTAAAACTGAAAAAAATATTAAGTAGAAATGTGTAAAATAAAGACATTTCTAAAACATATTTTAAAATAGACATACTTATCCCAACCAATAATTCCTATTTCTTCAATGAGGCTTGAGTAGAACTGGGGAGGAAGAGGTAGTGCATGCATTTCTTGTTTATTCTTTAAAGCAACTTCCTATTTAAAAGAAAAAAACAACAACTCGGATCAGCTGTGGAATGCCAGACAATGATTTGTTAGTACCTGATTACATAAAACAATTTCATAATCTTCTCTGTATCTAACTAACGTGTCCATTATTTTAATAAGAAATCCAACTGAATCTTTCCACTTTTCATAAAGAAAAAAGAGAGAGACATGAAAAAGTTAAAGGACTGCACTGAAGATCATATAAAAATGTCAATTATTTGATCAGTGTGGCTCAGTGGTTGATCGTCAATCCATGAACCAGAAGGTCACGGTTCAATTCCTGGTCAGGGTACAAGTCCGGGCGTCAGGCTCAATCCACTGTGTAGGGCATACAAGAGATAGCCGATCAATGATTCTCTCTCATCATTGTTGTTTCTATATCTCTCTCTTCTTTATTAAATCAATTAAAAAACTAGAATGGTTAAAAAAAAAAGTCAATTATTATACCTTCAACCTTAACTTTAATATTTTCCTCTATTATGCTTATCAAAGATGAAAAACATTTTTTAAAGAATACTCATCCACAAGGCTTCATTACTATCTTACTACTCCTGGAACATGTTTGATAGAAAGTAACATGTACCTTTAAAGAAAAACCTGAACTCTTAATTATATTACCTAGATTGATACATTAATACACATTATGAATTACTTTATAAACAAAAACCCTTCATTATGACAATAAATACTTACCTGCTAATTTCTTTCTTCATTCTGTATAACTCCCAGACTGGGCAAGTTCAAGTGTTTTGCCATCTGGTTAGGTCACAATTGCTTTTTCTACTAGGCTTACTTAAGATACGTTTAAGATGGTTTATGTTCCTCCAAACAAAACTAAAATTATGCTTTAGAAGCAATACAAACATCACTAGAATTGCTGAGGTTAAAAATGACAATTACTGCAAAGGTGAGAACCTAGACGAATGAGTTATTTGGAAAATAAAAACAAATGCTATCTACAAAATATATAGATATTCATATAGTCTGAATTATCAAAAGGTACCTAAAAACTAAAGGAAGTAAAATTTCAAAAGAAATCTAATACAATACCAAAACCATATGGAAATAAGCATTAAAAATTATATAAATGTAACCCTAATAAAAGGTATAAATTTTAATGTTTTAAGTATATGTTTAATTATTAGTGCTTATACTTTTTTTTTTTTTAACAAGGATAACATACTATCAAATTTAGGGAACAATGAAAAGAATCAGACTTTAAAAAACAGTATATTTCAAAATCAGAACTATTAACTGGAAGTACTTTAATAAAGTTCTAAATCTGTTTTATGATTTTAAAAATAAAAAACCCTGAAAAAGCAGATTTCTAAAGCCCAAAGTATCAATTTAAATTTGATTAGAAGGTAAACTCCCAGAAAACACAAGTTTTTTTGTTTGTTTTTTACAAACTAAACACTTAATGATATCTGATGATAGCCTGATGGTCCATAAAAATATATTTGTATTGCTAAGATTACCTATTTAAAAAAATATGTCAGTACAGTTCCTGTACTTATACATATAACACATGTATATAGTATTTCCTTTGAAATTTCTATTTTTATTCAGAAATTTTAATTATTACTACCCTCAGATATTGAAAGTAAAAAGAAACTTGGATAATAATAAAAACAGTATTTTAATCCTAAATTTATATTTGTAAACTCTGCCTTCTTCCTTAGGTCAGATGTGTCACTCCTATCCTAGAACCATAATAGGAAATAAGCAAAGGCAGAGAAGCAAAGCCTTCTTCGCGGAGAAGGAAACAAAGGTGTGTAATAGAAAGAATGCAGAGGACTTACACTCAGAGCTTATAAATCCTAATGTGAATATTTCTTGGTTTTGAGGTCTTAGGCAGTTAATGACTCGGCTCTAAAATAGGCATACAATAACCTATTCCTCATACAGTTTTTAAAAATATGGGTAATTGTTCATTTATTAAATGCATACAGAACAGCTCTTATATGTCCAATTATTACTAGGAAACTCCATGGAAGATTTACAAAATTTTCTGAACAAATTCAGTAACTACTGATTTCATTGAGATATCAATACTTTTAACGGTGATTATATTATAGGAACCCTATTACTAATAACAAACCCCAACAAATAAACTAATAATTCTTTCATTTTTAGATACACTATCGTGTGTAATAATATCACCAATACTGTCCATATTTCTTTAGAAAGTTAAAGAATATGATCTCATGTTATTCAGAATTATAGTAATAAATGTACTAAAGAAAATATTGTGATTCAGAGATGAACTCAGTATTTTCAGTTTTGAATTAATGATTATTTCTTTGAAATAAAATGACCAATATACCAAAAATAATAATTATGTTAATACTAGAAACCAAGATTTTCACAGTAAGATAAAAAAATATACAGGAATTACAAAAGCAATCAATACTTATGGTAAGTGTTAGAAAACAAATACCTACCAAGACCATCTTCAACTCCATCATAAAGGTCATTAGATCAGGAGAGTGCTTCATTCTCTAGATCAAAATGACATTTCCAATTAATTTCACTTGTACAATGAATATTCCATTCACTGAAACTAAAATAAAATACACATTTATGTGAGTGTGAAAAAATATTAATTATATTTACATAATAAAAGTATAAGAATGAAGTATTAGTCAACATCCTTACTATTCCTACGAATTTCATTTTGAAAGAGTAAACTAGAACTTAAAATCTACTCTTGTGAGATATACTGAACTGAGTAGACTGTCACCTAAAACTCACACACTCCTCTCTTCCTTTAGCACCGATTACTGTCAAGTTTACAAATCTAGCAAACCACATCATTATTTTTTAAGGGAGTGAAGAAAGTGGAAACAGGCACATAAAATAAAAAATCAGGCAAATCTATACAACTAAAAATATCTAGTTAGAGCAATTAATCAATAATTATAATACTGTCTATTTTTATTTTTATTGACCTTAAAGATGACCTGTAATTATTATTTTTGTCCTTTCATGATTAACCCATATTAATTCAAAAGGAGTCAATGTTTCAATAAGGTAAAACTAATATAACAAAATGGCAAAAGAAAACTTCTAAAGTAGAATGAGTAGTTAAGAATCACTATTCGTTGCAGAAACCGGTTTGGCTCAGTGGTAGAGCGTCAGTCTGTGGACTGAAAGGTCTCGGTTCGATTCCGGTCAAGGGCATGTACATTGGTTGCAGGCACATCCCCAGTGGAGGGTGTGCAAGAGGCAGCTGGTCGATATTTCTCTCTCATCGACGTTTCTAGCTCTCTATCTCTCTCCCTTCCTCTCTGTAAAAAAATCAATAAAATATATTTTTTAAAAAAAGAAACAAAAATAATAATCTAAGGTATTTTAGCAATAATGAATAAGACATAAGATTCATATCTTAACATAATTTTGAGTGTGTTCATGTTTTAGAACAAATCTTTGATTTTCCCTTCTTCTATACAATATCTCTCCCCTCCCCTCAATTTGTTAGAAATGAGTAATAAGTTATACACAAGGTATACAAACTACAGTCCAGAGGCTAAATCCAGCCAATGCATGCTTTTGTAAATAAACCTGTACTGAAATTCAGCTAAGCCATTCCTTTACCTCTTGTCATGGGCTGCTTTGGCGCTAAAGGGCATAGTTGTGTGGCTGTAACAGAGAACTTACGGTCCACAAAACCTAAAACATGTACTATCTGGTCCTTCACTGAAAAAAGCTGCCGACCCCCTGACCCATATTTACTAGTTAAAAATGATACAAAGAGCCCTAGCCAGTTTGGCTCAGTGGATAGAGTGTCAGCCTGCAAACTGAAGGGTCCCAGGTTCGATTCTGGTCAAGGGCACATGCCTGGGTTCTGGGCTCAATTCCCAGTATGGGTCATGTAGGAGTCAGCAGATCAATGATTCTCTCTAATAATTTATGTTTCTCTCTCTCTCTCTCTCTCTCTCTCTCTCTCTCTCTCTCCTCCTCCCTCTTTGAACTCAATTAAAAAAAATGAAACAAAGAATAGTGATATTCATCTGGACTTGGAATAAAACAAAGACTCAACTAATATTGGGTTCTATATAACCAACTGGAGGGCAGAAAGAAGATTAAGTAATTAGGACTTTTTTAGGAACCTTCTTGGTGAATTGGTGAAGAAAATCAGATATCTTATTATTATACTTAGTCTTTATTAACAAGACTTTCAGGCAACTGAAATATCTCAATAGATTCACTTCTTAAACTTTGATATTCTATACAATAAAGAGGTAATGAGCATATTGACCATCACACCCTCACAAGATGGCTGCCTACAACCAGGCTGGCAGAGGGGGTTAGTGAGGGACAACGAAACAACTGAACAACAGGCTGCTTGGGGCAACCAGGCTGGCAGGGGGATGGGAGGGCAGTTGGGGGTGACCTGGCCAGCAGCATGGAGCAGTTTGGGGCAACCAGGCCAACAAGGGGGGTGGGGGGAGTTAGGGATGATACGGCTAGCTGTGGGGGAGGGGGAGGAAGTTAGGGGTGACCAGGCAGGCAGCAGGTGAGCAATTAGAAGCCAGTGGTCCAGGATCCCGGTGATCGGGCCTAAACCGGCAGTCGGACATCCTCTGAGGGGTCCCAGATTGGAGAGGGTGCAGCCTGGGCTGAGGGGACACCCCCTCCCACTGTGCAAAAATGTCCTGCACCTGGCCTCCAGTAAAATATAAATAGACACAGGAGATAAGGAGGGAGCAATGGGGGGAAAAATAACAGAAGAAATAATTTAAGCATCCCCTTAAAAAATGGCTGTAATTATACTGCCAGCAATTACAGCCTACATTCTACAATCAAATAGTTTCTCTCCTATTATTTCTTTTTGGTGCGGTAATGCTTTATGTGAGAGTTTCTGTCATTGTCAGTTATCATAGATAATAATCTGCCTTTTAGATAGAGAAAATATAAGAGGGAAAAGCATACAAATGACAGGCATTTCTAGTTTATTTTTCTACAAAAAGCATTTCATTCTTTTCCTTTGCTTTAGTAACAAAGATTTTGTTTTAGAGTTTCTTTACTCTTTAAAGGAATTTTCAGGTAGAGGAATGTAAACATAAGAATAACTAAACCAGGGTACAGAGGGTAGGTAAAATGGGTAAAGGTGATGAAAAGGTACAAACTTCCAGTTACTAGTATACAATAATTTTAAAAATAACTAAATGAATCCTGCCTATATCTCACTAATGTGGCCTTTACAGCTTCTCCTATTATGTCCATGTACATGATCCTACGTGATCTCCACATCTTTTCTGTTACTAATCTAGAACTACATTTCCATTTTTGTCACAGATATCCTACAACTCCTAAACGGGTCCTGGCATTCCTTTATACCACCATTACTCAGTCTTAGCAGAAAAAATCACTCAAAAAGTGACGGGTATGGATAAGGGTAAATGTATTTGAAGACCCTGAAGTCTCAAGGATGGAAATCTTGGATATAAATGCTGCCCAGAGATGTGCTAAGGATTCTGAGACAGAAGAACACTTTACATAATGCATAGATCCTTAAAATATTTCATAGATATTAAACCTACAAAATTTAGCAACTAGTTTGTTACAGGATTCTGCACAGTAAGACTTTAAAAAAAGTAAACTCAGTAATTCCTTACTTTTGCTTAAAACATAAACCTTTTAAAGGACTTACTTGTTGTATTATTTGTTGGTATCCACAAAGTACTGTCCTTAGCTCCCAACTACATAGTAATCTAAAATTTAATGGAATAAAATAATGTGTTAATTGTTCAGAATAGGAAAAAAACTTACATGTATGATAAGACAAACAGGCATGAGCACAGAAAAGAATGACCAATTTAATTCTGAAAAGTTAATAAAATTTTTACCACCTATAAAGTTCAAAGTTTTCAAACTAACAGTACTAATTTTATTTCAAAATATAAATAACTGCAATCAATAAATGACAAGCACACAGTACATCTTTTTTTTTTTAAACATAGCAATGTTATCTACTGAACCAGATTCTGCTCTGAGGTAGGTTAAATAGAACCAACAGTTTAGATCTTAATATACTTCTTCAAATTCCAGAGTAATATAACCAAAAGGATACAGCCTTTTAATTGTGTTACTGATAGTTAATGTTCATCTATCTACTGGATCATCTCAGCTGTGCTCTCAACATTGTTAGGCAAGTGACTCTTCCAGGAAGAGATTTAACTTACCCAGAAGTGGGAGGCCTGAGTTTTCCCAGCATTAGCCACTCCTTTTCTACAAAGTAGTTTATACTGCTTACATTTCCTTTCTACCCACTCATCCATGCTATAATAAACCCCACTTCACTTGTCTTGTGTCTACATAAAACCTAATCATTTCTAATATGATCCCTTTGCAACACTCAGCACTATTAACCACTCCTTCCTTAAGTCTCTCTGTGTTTGGCTTCAGTTTTCCCCCTTACTTTTCTGGTCAATCCTTAGTCTTCCTCCAAGGTCCTCTTTATTTACCCTCACTGGGTATACCCTCTCTGGCTTTCTCTTTCCACCCTACACACGCAGCGCTGAAAGTCTGTCTGCACTCAGAGCTCCAAACCCATGCCTGCTGTGAATTCCACAGGCATCTCCATTCCAAGAATCACACTGGAATTAACACACCAATACTCTATTACTACTGAATAGCCTGTCTTTATATTTCACGCTGGATATGTCTTAAAACAATTTCTCCATCAATGCCCTCTTCTCTAGCTTAGTGATTTAAGCCAGGAATTTGGAAAGTATCTCCATTCTTCTTCCCCTCTTAATTCCCACTTCTAATCAGTCACAAAATCCATCAATTCTACTTGTAAATGCCTCTGGAGTCTTCCTTACCCCCTACTCCTAGAGATATTTAGGAGCAGAAATAAGATGTGGGGCACTACCTAAATTTCTAGTCTCATCTCTTGACACTCCTTGACCAGCTGTCTGTACTAATGATAATTATTTTATATTTTCACTTTATACTGAAGTTCAATATTTGTTAATAAACATTTCACAGTTGCTGTTTACTGCTTTAAATTAAAAAAAAAAAGTAGAGAATTTATGTGTCACCTTTGAAAAGTACTTCAGCACCAGGGAAAATCATTTACAAATGCACAATGACTTGGGAAAATCAGAAATGACTAATAAGCATTTTAGGCAAAATTCTAATGACTGAAATCAGTTTATAACAGATTGACTGACTTCCCATTCCATAAAGATGCAAGTATAGGACAAAACACATTACTTGGCATTCTTCAGCTGCAAATCTTCAGGCAACAATATTTTAAGATGGAAGTCTCTTCCCTGTGGAAAATATTGAAAAGGTTCAAATTCTCACCTTTCATGTAATGTTATGAGTTTCACTTAATTTTAGAATCATATAGAAAAGACAGTTTCCTTTATTTTCTAAACGAAACTTCATCTAAATGTTTATACCTATTAAAATATAAGCAACATGATATTGCCTTTGAAGAAAAGTAATTGTCCCAAGCTTTGTAATTATTGGGAAATCAAAACACTAAAATTGTTTTCAAATAGTCACTCACATAAACATAAGAGTTATAAGAAATTGTTAGTGTAGACAAAGATTTTTAAATGTTATTTCTTGGGAAATAAATGTATGAAAAAGAAAATTCCTTCAAATTGCTTTGAATATAGAAGTCATGATGTTGAAAAGAAAAATAAGAATATGTAATACATTATAGGAATCATATTTCCAATGTTTTATATTTTATAAAATAAAAATACATTTGGTTAAATAATCTAAATATGTAAACATCAGAGAAATATTTTCATAAATCAGAGTGTATTTAATTCTCCCACATTTGCAGACAGTTAATAAAATTGCTAACATATTACATTACTTCTTTCAACTTTCATATCCACTAGCTATACATTTGAATACATAAAATTTTACTCAAGAATGTTTCTAAGGAAGGAAAGACTGTCCTCAGAAATATATTCAGTTTTACTTTCTTGAGAAAGTAGATGAGTAAGCAGCTTAAACTTTGTAACTTAAATAGGATAATACACATGAAATCTGAGCAAAGGTAGGCAGAAAAGGACAAACAGAATTATAATCTTTTACTCCAACAGAATAAAATGAAAAAGAGTAATAAAATTCTCGAAAAACAATTACCAAAAGAATTTTAGCACAGTCTCCCTCAAAGCAGTTTCAAAAATAGAGGAACACAATTAAATGTACCCCATAACCTTTACTTTCATGGTAATATTACAGTTCTGACTTTCATTACATTTAAATGTCGTTTAAAAAAATGAAACAAAATGTACTACTGACCTTTTCAAAAGGTCAAGTAACAATAATTCACTATTTCATTAAAGCACTAAGAGGTATTATGTAGTAACTTTAACCTAACTTTATAGACATCCCACACATAGGTGTAAGAACAATCTGGAATTCAAAATTTACATGAAAAATAGTAAAAACTTCTCTACTGCTCTGTTATCTGAAAGAATAAAATTTCAAACTCCCTTATTTGCAAAATCCAGCCATTTTAAAAGGTCAAATGCCATGTCACATGCCATCATATGTTTCTGATTATGATGATAAGAAAATATCCAAATTAGCTTTTTTTTTTCTTAATTGCTCTCAAAAAGGAGATTTTCCAGGCTTAGAGGAAACCAAAGTACTGATAATTGCTCTCCACACATCATCCCAAAACACTATATAGATGAATATTAAGAACTAAGACACACACACACACACACACACACACACACACACCTCATCTTCAGTAAAATCAGAAAGCAGAGAACACTAAATTTCAAATTACTGCAGGAAAAAAATATATAGATCGCTTTTCAGGTGTTTCCAATCTGGAACTCCAACAGCAACTCCTTTTAGATGGCTAGAGTTTCAGGAAAAATGCATGGAAGAGAGAAGACGGGACTGGACCAAGTACAAAAAATAAATAAATAAATAAATAAATAAATAAATAAAATAATAGATAATCTGGTAGATCAGAGTATGGTAAAACACTGACTACAGAGAAGAAACTAAACATGAACACAAAAGGTAAGGCGTTTGTCTTCGAAAGGAAATGTAGGAATAGAAGATGGTAAAAAGGCAGGAGAAAAAAGTACTTTGGAAACTGCGTGCTAGGAGGAATAAACAAGAAGAGTGGCAACTTGGGATCTTATGTAACAAAATAGAAACACTCAACTCCTCCCCTCAGCACTACAAAAACATCATCCATTAAATAAACTGTACGTTGCTTCACTGACAGAACAGTGTATTCCTGAACTAATAATTTTATAAACTATTGTAAACAGTCAAACAGTTCCATACTTAAAAGCTAATGACTTCATCAATGCCACACTACTATGAGACAAAAACAGAATAAGAGACTCAAAACATTTCAGGTGATGACAGTCTACCATGCAAAAACTGCAGAGATAAACAAATTACAATGCTGAGTTATATATTTTTGAGTCAGAAATTCAAAAACCAAGGACAGAAATTGAATTTTTTTAAGAAAATTAAGAAAAATATAAAAAGATATTAAAATGTAATAAAGGTATTCAACAAACAATAGAATAAAAAAAAATCAGAAGAGACAAAGAAAAACCAAAAAATTATCGAATTAATAAAAAATTGAAGACAATCAGAAAAAAAGTGGAAAATAAGTATAGGGAATATAATATACAAATAATTGGAAAACATAAAAAGGAAAACAAAATAGAAGAAAATACTATTTAAAATTATAATCCAAGTATAGTTTCTGAAAATTCACATACTGAAAAGGACAACTGGACACATGAGAAAACTGACTCATAAAGACCCACTTTGAGGTTTATCTTAATGAAAACACTTAAAATAAGGTAGAAAGTACATAGCTTCTAAGAAAAAAGTCAAATAACTTATATGGAAAAACAGAATAATTTTGGCATCAGACTTCTCAAAGCAAGATTTTAAAAAGCAACAATGGGATACAATTTTTAGGAAACTTCTGCTTCTATCCATGATTTTAAAAAAAAAAATACAGAATTTACTATCCCACAAACTAAAAAGTTGGACAAAATATGTATGAAACAATGATTTGTCAGACATCAAACAATAGGCATTATATAGGACAGTAATCCTTGAAAAAGGGAAACAAATGAGAAAATCTCTATAAATAGTCAGCTGTATGGCCTGGAGAATTTTCAGGCTGCAGGGCAGAAATGAAGAATGAAATAGAGCCCAACATTCCCCCTGGCGTAAGAAGAAAGGGGTGAGTCAGGGGAAGTAAAGGTAATCAGGATTCATAATGTACAGCACCAAAGATGAAATTCATGGAGAAGAAAGAACTACAGAGTAAACTAGAGAACTTCAGAGGATTCTTCCAAAGGAATCTTTAGCTCAATAGTGATTGCTACATGGATGTGAGAAAACCACCCAAAGCTGAGGAATCAAGAGAATGGAGCATGCAAAACCATCTTGGAGCTCACACAAGGTTGAGCTTCTTCCCATCGAAGTGGACAACCTTATACTATTAAAGCCAACAAATACGAGTGTTGCCTCAGTCATAGAGACAAAGTCTGTTCTTTCTCTGCCTAACAAAGCTTAAAAGCCAACATTGAACAGATCAAACCACTTCCAAGTAGCTGCTGCTTAGAAGAAATCTCAAGAATATTTAAGAGAATAAATAATATCTAGCAATAATAATAATAATAATATCTAGCATACCACAAGTAGAATGCAAAATGTCTCGCATTCAATCAAAATATACCAGGTTTGCAGAGAAGCAGGAAAATAAGATTCATAATAAAAAGAAAAGTCAAGAGAAATACAAAAATGATGATAAAACTGCTTTAAAATTCTTAAACCGTTAGTACAATATTACAGACATTCAAGAAGGTTAAGGAGAGCATGAGTATCCTAAATATACATGGGAGAGACATAAAGGAAGACCCATATTTAAAAGATAAATAAGCCAAAACCGATTTGGCTCAGTGGATAAAGTGTTGGCTTTCAGACTGAAAGGTCCCAGGTTTGATTCGGGTCAAGGGCATGTACCTTGGTTGTGGGCACATCCCCAGTGCGGGATGTGCAGGAGGCAGCTGGTCGATGTTTCTCTCTCATCTACATTTCTAACTCTCTATCCCTCTCCCTTCCTCTCTGTAAAAAATTCAATAAAATATATTTAAAAAATAAATAAATGTTTTTTAAAAAATAAAAGATTTAAAAATGCATATATAATGTCTAACATGATAAATATGCTAGGTGGTATTAACCGGTTAAACCTTGCAAAAATAGATACTAGTGTACCTGAAACAGAAATAGAACATCCAAAAATAAACAGAGAGATTGTTTAAAAAAAAAAAAAAAAAGGAGACCATTAATGAATTATGCAACAACTTAAATTGGCCTATCATGCATGTATTTGAAGTCCCCAATACAGGTAAAAGAGAGGGGGAAACAAAAAAAAAAATTAAGAAATAATGGCTAAAATTTTTCCAAATTAAATGAAAAAAACAACCTTATAGATCTAAAACAAACAAACAAACAAAAACAACTGCACAAACTCTGTGGCAGGAAAACATAAATAAAACTAAACCAAGATAAAAATAAAAACTTTAAAAGCAGCCAAAGGAAAAATAACATACTACTAAGAAGGATAAGAAAAAAGAGTTCTCGTAGAAAATAATGCAAGAGAGTGAAGTGACATCTTTAAAGCACTAAAAGAAAAAAAAGTCAACCTAGAATCTTATACCCAATGAAAGTATCTTTCAAAAATCCAAATAAATAATTTTTTAGACATAAAACAGCTGAAGAAATTAATCATCAGTAGACATACACTACCTGAAATATTAAAGGAACTCAGGAAGATATTAAGTGAAATCAGATGGAAATCTGGTATACAACGGAGTGCCAGAAACAGTTAATAACAAATAAATATAAAGACTTTTCTTATTTTTCAAAAATCTCTTTAAAGGGTAATTGTCAGTGCCAAAGCTCTGATTCTCAATTGATCAGTGCCAAAGGTCCTGATTCTCAATTTAAGCAACAAAGAAAATAAGAATTTATTACTACCCAAAGTATAAAATAAGTTTAATGAATCCATACTGTTATCAATAAGTGTATTAGTAAATGGGAGAGTTAAGCTAATCTCCCATGCATAAAAATTGAATAAATTATGTACATAACTCTACCTCAAAAGGGAGCATAACTCCCCATTCCTTAATGGGAACTGCTCATAGTGACTTTCTCCCAAACAGTACAGTATGGGGGAAGGAAAAGAGTATAGTATGGAAAGAGTATGTGTGTAGGGGTGACAGAGGGGAGAATGGAAGGGCAGAATAGAAACGTTCCAGTAGATAAACCAGAAAATGCCAGTTCAGCCAAATGATCAAGGTCAACATCAATGGTAATATGTCACATTGATAATCTGTACCCTTAATATGATGTGATGAAATGGTACTTACACTGTAATGTTTCTCTCAGAAACCCATAACTCCAATCTAATCGTGAGAAATCCCAGTATAGTATCCTACAATAACCTTGACTGGTACCTCAGAAATAGTGAAAAATCAATGATATCAAAAGTGGATTCTTGAAGAAGTCATTTCAATAAAATGTATAAGCCTCTATCCCAATGCATCAGAAGAAACCCAAAATACCATGATCAGTATTGGGATAGGAGGTAGCTATAAAATATGCACATAATGTCTTTGATACTTCCACCATTCAGTGTTGGTGTCTCAATTATCTTTTGTGACTTGCTACATTTGTGACTTGCTTCTAACAAACGAAATAAAGCTGAATAAATATGTGTTAACATCCAGGGCTAGGGGAGAAAAGGCACTGTGCAGCTTTCTGCTTGATCTCTCTGTCCCATCACTCACTAGCTCATGGGAAACTAGCTGCCACGTGTCATTACAGTCAAGCAACACTGCAGAGGTCCTTGTGGTGAGGATCTGACGCCTTCCTAATGGAGAGCAATAAAAAAAAAAACAGGCCTCCAGCCAATGGCTATGTGAATAAGCAATCTTGGAAGCAAATCTTTCAGCTCTAGTCAAGCTTTTAGGTAACTGACATCCTGGCCAACATCTTCTTCCTAAGAAACACTGATCCAGAAACACCAGCTAAGTCACTTCCAAGGTCCTGATTCACAGAATCTTGAAATAATAAATGTGTTATAAGGTCTGAACTAATTAGTTATGCAGCATAAGATAACCAATAAAAAGAGCATCATTACAGAGCCTAAAGACAATAATGATAAACAGAATGTTATAAGTAACTTTTAAGCCAATAAATTTTAAAACCTAGATGAATGAACAAAGTCCTTTCTAGGTTTGATAGAAAACAAACTATCAAAGCTCACTCAAGAGGAAAGGAATAATCTGATAACAGAGAAAGCACCTTCTTTTAATCACTCAAGAATTTCTCTCACATACATAAGATCACAGGATCAGTAAGTTCCACAAACTTTTTATAAACAATATGATCTCATCACAATGCAATAAAACTAGAAATTAGTTAACAAAATTTAAAAAACGACCTTCCATGATAAATTTTGTAAAATCTTTTATTAAATAGTTCCTAGGTGCAAGGGAACTAAAATTTGAAATTATGAAAATTCTGAGCAATGATGATATATCACTACATGCTAGCATCCATAAAATAATTTTAACAGTGATAAGAGGGAAATTCAAAACTTTAATTTCAAAATCTATATCAATAACAATGTGCTTTTACTGGCCAACTCTGGGACAATATAAACATAAAAATAAGGGTTGCAATGATGATAACCCATTAAATAAATTATTTTTAAAATCATGAGACCATTATGATATAAATTGGGAAGGAAAAGCTATACCTTATCATAGAATGCCAATTAATAAAGAAATGATAGAGCTAAAAAATCATTTGGCAACTCTCACAGTATTAACTAATCAAACAAGAGTCAACAATGCTACAACTTTAGCATTGGTATGTGGTGAAAGTTTAATGTTTCAGCTCCCTAAAAGTACTTACTAATTGCAAAGGAATAACTGGAAGATGACAACTTAACTAGGTGATCAGAGGAAATATTATCAATAACCAGATCCATTGATATAAATACCTTGAAAAGGACACAACATTCTTTCTGGGGCATTTCTGCCAAATTGCATAATCTGAACTTTAAGAAACATCAATGAAACTCAAATTGAGGGGCATTCTACCTAATAACTAACCTGTCCTCTTAAGAAATGGCAAGTTCAGCCCTAAACGGTTTGGCGTCATGGATAGAGCGTCGGCCCATGAACTGAAGGGTTCCAGGTTTGATTCCACTCAAGGGCATGTACCTATTGGGGATGTGCAGGAGGCAGCTGATGGATGTTTCTCTCTCATTGATGTTTCTAACTCTCTATCCTTTTCCCTTCCTCTCTGTAAAAAATAAATTTATATAAAGAAATGGCAAGTTCATGAAAACCAAAGACAGATTAATAAACTATTTCATGTTAGAGACAGTTAAATATGAGATCTCACACCATCAGATGGTAGGGAGCAAAATAATGTAATTGCAACACTTAAAAAAAAAATTGTAAACGGACTCCAGATTAGATAGTGGTATTATATCATGGTCAAATATCTTGATTTTGAGAATTGTATTGTGGTTACGTATGTGTATGTCATTGGTCTCGTGAAATATACCTGAAGTATTTAGGAATAAAGAGTCATTGTGTCTGCAACTTAATCTCAAGCTGTTGGACACCTACCATTCTTAGGGATAGGTAAAATTTTCATTTAGCAAGTGATTTTGATAATTCAATATTTTTAAGAGGTTATTTTATGTTATAAGTAGTCTTGAAAACAAATGGTAATTCCTAGGATATAGCCCTAATCCTCAAAAAAATATGTGTGCTGGGGAGGGGGCATGATGTTGAGTATAATGGTCAGGGAACAAAAAGTCTACACTCTAATCCTAACCTAAGGTATCTTGGTGCAAACGCAGAGGGGAAAGATCCAGGTGTGGAATCAGCCCGAGTTTAAGGGATTCTGTTGCGAACATGGAAAAGGGAACTAAACCTCTCCATTCTCCCATGCCTTGACTTATTCAACGAAGAAACAAGAATAATGATTTTTTCCTCAATTCCTGCCCTCAAGGGGCTGCGGTTAATACGGAGATGGTGTACTTGGAAAGCGCTTTGTAAACTTCAAAGCCCCTACACGTGAGTTACTCCATGTAGTAACTCCACAAGAGAGGCGATCTGGAATCTGCAAACACAATTCTGTTGTCCAAATCTCCTACAAAAATTCACAAATAGTGGGTCGGGTACACGTGATTTGCAACAGGGCCCAAAATAAGGTTTTCCTCCAAAATGTCCCTTCTACAGGAAACACCAATATAATGTGATGAGCAGGGATTCCCGTGAACGGCCGCCAGCCTTCGTGGGTGCGGGTGGTGTGAGGAAAGAGCTAGGCACAAAAATTCAAAACAGAGAGCAGAGTTTAAATGTAGGGCAGCCACTGCATTGAGAAGGAGGCAACTCAGAGAGGGGAGGGCCGAGGGGTGTGGCCACCTCCCGGCCACGCCCCGCCGCACGCCCCCTGCCCCGGCGTCCGGCCACGCCCCCGCCGCCCGGCCACGCCCCCGCCGCTCAGGTTTTGCGCGGGTCTCGTGATGGCGGCAGCGGTTCTCAAACTTCTATAGTGACCTGCCGTCCCTCTCAATCCCCGTAAGTCAGGGCTCCTCACCCCCTCGGGTCAGACTCCATGCGGGGCGGCCCTGCGCCCCGAGAGGGAGGCTGCCCTAGCGGGAGAGCCACTCCCACCGGGCAGTACCTGCGCGGTAATGAAGCCTTCATACACGGTTTTCGCCAGGTTCTGGGGCAGGAGCAACGGGAACTGGTGCCACAGGGTCCCTTCCGTCTCCTCCATGGCTCGCCGTCCGCGGCGCCCCGGGGGGCTTGGTCGGCGGCCGGGCCCTGCACATGCGCAGTCGCGCCGGCGGTGGGGCGGCGGGGCGGGGCGGGGGGGGGGGGCGGAAGCCCGGACGTTGGCGGGAAAAAGTTGGCGGAGTTCACGGGCGGAAGTGAAAGTCTCCTGCGAGCGGGACCACCTGGGATGGAGCCCAGCGGAGATAGATGGGGCTTGTAGGGGCCAGCATTGGCCCCCAGGGGAGGCGGGAGGGAAGGCTGCTCTGGGCTTTACAGATCTCAGTGAGCAAGATCTTTCTGGCCCTGAAGGCAACAGGAACCCTTCTGTTGATGTCCTTTGAGGTTATGGAAAAGCTGCTACAACTTTGGCCTTGCATTTCTCCCAGTATGCAATGGCTTACCCGGAACCCGCCTCCCCTCCCCTCTTCCAGGATCCTCAATCTCCTGTTAGCCAGCTCTACAGGGTCGCCTGCATGCCCTCAGCATACAGCATAATAGGTGTATTATTCTCTATGTCAGAATATCATATAAGGGCAATGTATTACATCCCATTTAATATATCAGTGTATTGCAGTTCTGTGGCTTAACAAATCAATTCAGTGTTCTTGTATTTGAGAGACACATAAGTATCTATGCACTGATCCAGATTGAGGTCAATACCAGACTGAGTTCTGATACACTGCACTCACCACGATCTAAGGAAAGATTACTGATGCACTTGGTGAACCAAAGTTGGGGTCGTTGTTGTTTTTTAACACTTTCTTTATATCTTTCTAACTTAGAAATGGTAATCATCTATTCCCTTTTACTAGGGATTGATTAAGTAAGGGACTTGTTGATAGTTACTGCATGGTTATTTGTTAATCCAATCAATGGTATTTGCAAAACATCTCTGTAATATGCCAAAGCTGTGCAAAGATGAATAAGATATATACCCCCTTCCCATCTCTATTGGCCTCCAAATGGAATCAGACTTCATAAAAGACCCTTAAAGTTTGACAAATGTGTTACAGTTTTCTGGGTGATTAGGGATAAACAAAAATGCTGCAGCAGTTTGATGTTTTGAGAAGCAGTGCTTCTCAAAATGTGATTCTGCAGCCAAGAGCATCAGTATTACCTGGGAACCCTATAGTAATTCACATTCTCACCCTTCAACCATCTCAGACCCAGAAAATCCTAAACTCTGGGAGAGAGGCCCCACCATCTGTGATTTAACAAGCCACTCCAGGTGATTATAATCCACACTGAAGTTTTTTCCCCCGTGAAACCTCTAGCCTTCTTTCAAAGTCCTCAGATGCTACCTCTTTTGGAACCTATTTTACCTGCTGAAAATTATCCCTCTCCCTAATTGTTTAGTATATTTTCTGGTACATGGTAAATGCTCATTAATTATTTACTAAATTAAATATCAATTAGTACTGTAAAACAAAGTAAAAGCAAGTATTTCAGGTGAGGGATGGGGAAGGGCAAGATGTGAAGGTGAGGAGATAGGAAAGACACATCAGAAAGAGTATCACATGGTGACAGTAGATATTTGGGCTTTTGTAGAGTTATTAATGCTGCTTTTGTAAATCTGGGAACTGATTTGATAGACTTTATTTTTAGAAAAACTTCTCAGAGAACTCTGTAGAGCATGACTAGAGTAAGATCAATTAGGAGATGATTACCATAATCCAGAGAAGGTGCTAAAGAAATAGTTATGAGAAATGATATTAAGGAGGTGATCTTGCCTCTCAGGCCATTATTTTAAAATATATATATTTTTATTGATTTCAAAGAGGAAGGGAGAGGGAGAGAGATAGAAATATCAATGATGAAAGAGAATCACTGATCAGCTGCCTTCTGCACCCACACCACTTCCCACTGGGAATTGAGCCCACAACCTGAGCATGTGCCCTGACTGGGAATCAAACCATGACCTCCTGGTTCATATTATAGGTAGATGCTCAACCACTGAGACACCTCAGCTAAGCTCTAAGTCCTTTTTTTTTTTGACATATCCTCTTCATCCAGCTGTAACAGTTGGGGCACCTCAATGCTTATTGCTAATCCCCATTTTCAGCATATCCTCTCCTCTCAGTAATCCTACATAGTATATGAATATTAAAATCTACTACATACTGATAACTTCTAATTGTATCTTTCTCACCCCACTCTTCAGACTTGCATACCTACTACTACAAGTTATTTCCACTTCAGATGTCTAATTGGTATTCAAATTGTTTGTGTCAAAATGGACCTCTGAAATATGGCCATTTTATAATTTCTAAAGAAATAATTGACTTAGGCAATAAGTACCAATAGATTCTTAAACCATAATATGAAAGGGTATCATGATATAAGTATTAACATAATGAATAACTATCAACTTAATAATGGTGGGATCAGGCTATCACCACGTGACACCTCTTTAGTTAAAAGCTACATAGCCACACATTGTCAACAGATGTTTGGCAATAAGAAGAACAACACCAAAAATACTTGACATAAACTAATGAAGCTTTTGGGTATAACTTCTAGTTTCCTGGTAACACAGGAACAAGCCGAATGACATCAGGAGGACAATCAGGCAAATCCAGAATGTCAAGCACACCACAGGACAATGAGCCTATTTATTTATCTAGTTGATAAATAGATGGGGGATAAGGGGGTTGGGAAGAGACAACAGGAGGGAAAAGGACCGTTCGATTTTAAAAGAGACTTAAGAAACATTAACACTCAAGAGCAATATGAAAACATTGAATACTTGAACAAAACAATTGCACAAGCATATGCAGTTGCCCTGGGAAAGAGAGATTTCTGGGTGGTGAAGTTTGGATAATGGTACAAGACTGATAAACATCCAACACTAAGAACAAGAAAGAGAAAATTGATATATTTAATATGTAACACATTAAAATGTAAGTAAGTGTGAACTGTTCATGCAGGGATGACCTCAGGATAGTGATTCTCAGCCATGGCAATTTTGATGCCCAGAGGATATTTGGCCCATATCTAAAGGTATTTTTGGTTGTCACAATGAGGAGACAGTAGTAGGATGCTACTAGAATCCAGTGGGTAGAGACTAAGAATGCTCCTAAACAATCCACAAGACAGCTCCTCCACCCCAGGACAAAGGATATTCTAGCACAAAATGTCAGTAGCGCTAAGATTAAGAAACCTCACAACAGGCAATCAAATGTCTACATAAAGAAGATACTTTTTTTTTTTTTTTTACTTTAGCAGTGTCCCTGGTACATGGTAAGTGCATATATTTGTCATAATTCCTTTTATATTGTGTAAGCCTACAGATTCTTGAAAAAAGTGGAGGAAAGTCAGGCTGAAACTTAGAAGACAGATCCTAGAAGGATTAAAAAATATACACATTAGTATACAGGTGGTAATAGAAACCTTAGGAGTAAAGAAGAACTTTTACAGACCTGGTGCATGAACCTCACTGTGGATCCAATTCACTTAGGCAGTTTTAAGAAAAGACGGATGCTTGATTTCACCCCAGGGCTTCTGATTTAAACATCTGGGAGTGGACAATGTAAGCATCATATTAAAAATAAATAAACAAAAAACACACCTCTTCATATTATTTTTATGTGCAACCAGTGTTGGAAATCTAAGTTTTTTTTTTTCTGAACTGCATTCATTATATTCAGTTTATTAATAAGACATACTGCATTATGTGTGATAGCTCAAGCAGTTGACTGTAGTTTCAAAAGTTTTTCTGGGTTTGCTAAAGCAAACAAACCCACTGTTGATCTCTTTGGGTAAAGTAAAAGGCCAGAAATTCCTTGGCACAATGTAGAGGGAAGAATTTAAAGACTATGTGAGATAAAAAAAATAAATAAATAAATAAAAATTAAATTTTAAAAAAGTAGATTAAATGGATCATGTATCTCACCTCTATATCCTGGCTAGGCCCTGAAAACTAGTCTCCTTTGCCAGTAAAAAATCAAGTGAAAAGGGAAATACCCAAATATTTAAAAGTGCTTTGCTGGCTCTTTCTCTCCCCCCACCTCACTCCCCCATCCCCACCTCCCCTTCGGCTTGGAATGCTTTTGGAAGGAGATGTAATAAAAATGGTATTCCTGATCTCAGTGGGGATGTGAGAAGCCAGCTGAGGCCTGGCCCAGGTGATGACTGTTAACAGTCTGAAGCAAAGCGGGTATTGTTTTAATAGCCAGATGCTGCACTCAGGGATCAGGGAATGCCTTCAGTAGCAGAAATCTCTGACTGTGGTTAATTAATCATGGGGTCCCCGGGAATGAAATAGACAGCCAATTAAGGTGTGTCTTGATTTATTTAACCAAAGCTATTCTAGGTCTGATGCACAGAGGCCTCACTGGAGCCAAGGTGCTAGGGAACTCTGGGTTCACCAGCCCCGTGCAGGGGAGGCTGGTACCTGTGAGGAAAGACCCTGCTGTAACAGTGCCCAGGCATACTGCGAGTCTCTGCTTTTGTCCTTCCTAATGGGGCTGCCAGTCGTTAACCTGAATAGATGTGCACTGAGGAAAGGGAAATACTTCAACTCTGGAAATATCCGTTAAAGCCCCAATTGGTCACTGATTCCTAGGGACTTGTAATCCAATTAGAGTCAGTTTGGCAGAATTGGGGATCATTATGGAGCCCAGGTTTTAAATGGAGTTCTGACCTGAGTTTTTAAAATGGTAGCCTGAGTGGGACTTCCAACACTTTCTTGGTGTCATTTTCTCAGATCCTGAGTTAATTCTTGGAATGGATATGATAGGAAAATGGCAGATTCCCACAGTTTCTTATGTCATAAGTAAAGGCTAGTATTTTAGGAAGGTCTAAGAGAAGGCCTTTGGTATTCTCCTTTTCTGGCAAAATAAGGAGTGAAGAAGAGCATTACAATCCTGAAGGTTGCTTCCTGAAAGTTGTAAATTTGGTGATTAATTAACAGGGTGGTTTGGCTTCTGTAATCTCAAAGGCCTTGGCGAATGACTATGGATCACAGAGGGTCCAGTGGTGGTTATTAGTCTAGTTTTTTCC